ACTACCCTCCCTGCCCTCCAACCACTACCCTCCCTACCCTCCACCCTCCTACCACGACCCTCCCTGCCCTCCACCCTCCTACCACTACCCTCTCTGCCCTCCACCCTCCTATCACTACCCTCCCTGCCTCCACCCTCCCACCACTACCCTCCCTGCCCTCCACCCTCCCACCACTACCCTCCCTGCCCTCCACCCTCCCACCACTACCCTCTCTGCCCTCCACCCTCCTACCACTACCCTCCCTGCCCTCCACCCTCCACCACTAACCCTCCCTGCCCTCCACCCTCCAACCACTACCCTCCCTGCCCTCCACCCTCCAACCACTAACCATCCCTGCCCTCCACCCTCCAACCACTAACCCTCCCTGCCCTCCACCCTCCAACCACTAACCCTCCCTGCCCTCCAACCACTACCCTCCCTACCCTCCACCCTCCAACCACTACCCTCCCTGCCCTCCACCCTCCTACCACTACCCTCCCTGCCCTGACCTGCTGCTGTCTCTGGGCTTCAGGCCTCGTCCCTCGTCGCTCTTCCTCCCCCTTAGGGGGTCGTCGTTGCCGCCGACGACGACGAAAGGCTCCCGAAGCCGCGCGGGAGCCGCGAGCGCCGACCGTTAGGCGCCGAGGATCACGTGCTGGTGGTGGGGGGGGAGGAGCGGCGCCTGCGCGGTGGCGGCCGATACCCTTATATGGTCAGACCACGTGCTGGTGGGCCTCGCAGGCGGCCAATGGGCGTCTTCCTGTCAGATAGGGCGGGAGAGAAATACACCCACGCGACGAGCCCCGCCCAGAGCACGTGACGAGGGAGCGCGCGAGACGGAGCCGCGAGAGGGGGGGGCGGCGACCGTTCGGCGGCTCCGACTGTGAGGCGCCGAGGAGCGCGCGGAGCCCCGGCTCGAGGCGGGAGCGGCGCCTGCGCGGTGGCGGCCGAGGCCCCGTCTGGGGTGAGACCACGTGCTGAGGAGCCCCGCGGGCGGCCAATGGGGGACGCGGCGGGAGCCCACGTGATGAGCGGGAGTGGGCGGGAGACAGAGAGGCGCGAGCGGCGACCGTTACAGCTCGAGCTTCACATCCCCCCCACAGGGACAGTTAGAGAGGAGACCCCCCCCAGAGGGACAGTTAGAGAGGAGACCCCCCCCACAGGGACAGTTAGAGAGGAGACCCCCCCCACAGGGACAGTTAGAGAGAGGAGACCCCCCCACAGGGACAGTTAGAGAGGAGACCCCCCCCACAGGGACAGTTAGAGAGGAGACCCCCCCCACAGGGACAGTTAGAGAGGAGACCCCCCCACAGGGACAGTTAGAGAGAGGAGACCCCCCCACAGGGACAGTTAGAGAGAGGAGACACCCCCCACAGGGACAGTTAGAGAGGAGACACCCCCCACAGGGACAGTTAGAGAGGAGACCACCCCCACAGGGACAGTTAGAGAGGAGACCCCCCCACAGGGACAGTTAGAGAGGAGACCCCCCCCACAGGGACAGTTAGAGAGGGGACCCCCCCCCACAGGGACAGTTAGAGAGGAGACCACCCCCACAGGGACAGTTAGAGAGGAGACCACCCCCACAGGCACAGTTAGAGAGGAGACCCCCCCCACAGGGACAGTTAGAGAGGAGACCCCCCCCACAGGGACAGTTAGAGAGGAGACCCCCCCACAGGGACAGTTAGAGAGGAGACCCCCCCACAGGGACAGTTAGAGAGGAGACCCCCCCCACAGGGACAGTTAGAGAGAGGAGACCACCCCCACAGGGACAGTTAGAGAGGAGACCCCCCCCCACAGGGACAGTTAGAGAGAGGAGACCCCCCCCACAGGGACAGTTAGAGAGGAGACCCCCCCACAGGGACATTTAGAGAGGGGACCCCCCCCCACAGGGACAGTTAGAGAGGAGACCCCCCCACAGGGACAGTTAGAGGAAAGGAGACCCCCCCACAGGGACAGTTAGAGAGAGGAGACCCCCCACAGGGACAGTTAGAGAGAGGAGACCCCCCACACAGGCACAGTTAGAGAGAGGAGACCCCCCACAGGGACAGTTAGAGAGAGGAGACCCCCCACAGGGACAGTTAGAGAGAGGAGACCCCCCACACAGGCACAGTTAGAGAGAGGAGACCCCCCCCCCCCCCCAGAGCTACACTGGAGGATCAGACTGGACGATCAGCCCAAAGAGCCCCCGACGCGGGGCTGGAACCCGCGACCCCCTGACTCAGAGGTAAGACCCTCCGCCCGAGCCGGGCCGCCTGACGGCTCACAGCGAGACCCCCATCGGCCGTGTCCGGCCACAGTGTTAGAAAATAAAATCAGCCAAATCTGTAAGGAAATAACGCTGATTCCTCTAACCAGATATCAGACTGTTTTATTATTATTATTCGTTCGTTACTCCCCAATATCCCCGATGGGTCAGACCAAAGGCCGATACAATCAACAGATCTTACAACAGAATAACACCACTATAGGTATCTCGAGTTCAGGAGTTCAACACTGTGCCTTTCCAGCCCACAAGTTTGATTCTTCATGTTTTCAGTCTTCCTGCCGACAGCTTTCAATCCTCCATCTGATATCCTCAGTCTCAGTGTTTCCAGCTCTCAGTCTTCCATCTCCGTATCCTTGTCTCCGCAGCCCGGGACGGCCCCATCTCCCGTATCCTTGTCTCCGCAGCCCGGGACGGCCCCATCTCCCGTATCCTTGTCTCCGCAGCCCGGGATGGCCCCATCTCCTGTATCCTTGTCTCCGCGACCCGGGACGGCCCCATCTCCCGTACCCTTGTCTCCGTGACCCGGGACGGCCCCATCTCCCGTATCCTTGTCTCCGCAGCCCGGGACGGCCCCATCTCCCGTATCCTTGTCTCCGTGACCCGGGATGGCTCCATCTCCCGTATCCTTGTCTCCGTGACCCGGGATGGCTCCATCTCCCGTATCCTTGTCTCCGCAGCCCGGGACGGTCCATCTCCCGTATCCTTGTCTCCGCAGCCCGGGATGGCCCCATCTCCCGTATCCTTGTCTCCGTGACCCGGGACGGCCCCATCTCCCGTATCCTTGTCTCCACGACCCGGGACGGCCCCATCTCCCGTATCCTTGTCTCGGTGACCCGGGACGGTCCATCTCCCGTACCCTTGTCTCCGCAGCCCGGGATGGCCCCATCTCCTGTATCCTTGTCTCCGCAGCCCGGGATGGCTCCATCTCCCGTATCCTTGTCTCCGCAGCCCGGGACGGCCCCATCTCCCGTATCCTTGTCTCCACGACCCGGGACGGCCCCATCTCCCGTATCCTTGTCTCCACGACCCGGGACGGCCCCATCTCCCGTATCCTTGTCTCCACGACCCGGGACGGCCCCATCTCCCGTATCCTTGTCTCCACGACCCGGGACGGTCCATCTCCCGTACCCTTGTCTCCACAGCCCGGGACGGCCCCATCTCCCGTATCCTTGTCTCCGCGACCCGGGATGGCCCCATCTCCCGTATCCTTGTCTCCGCGACCCGGGATGGCCCCATCTCCTGTATCCTTGTCTCCACGACCCGGGACGGCTCCATCTCCCGTATCCTTGTCTCCACGACCCGGGACGGCCCCATCTCCTGTATCCTTGTCTCCACGACCCGGGACGGCCCCGGACACAAAGTTAACAGAACTTTTACACCAATGTTCATCCAATCATGGTGCGGACATTAGATCACCCGGTCGAAATCATGCCGGGTGTACGTGCCTCAGCCCACATACACATTGTCCTTAGGACCCCCTGTTATCTGATCTAATTGTCTAAGATAGAGGTTTGATCAGTTTAGGGCTGTATCTGGTGCTCATTATTTTGTGGTGTGGGATCATTGGTACATTCCTTTTAAGTGACTGGTTATTTCTTATCAGTATCCCCCGGGATGGTACCGAGGTCCTCTAGTCTAAGCAACTTGCTCATTAATTGCTATTCTTGAGGGTTGCCTTCTGTCGGTCGGCCCTGTCAGAATCTAGCGACTTATTGCTCAGTCGAGATCCTGTGTCGACCGGTACCTTGGACCGTCACCTCTGTGGTTTGTTGTCATTTACTGATAAGAGGTGACCCCCGGCCCCTGTCCGTTATTCTTTCAAAAACAGAGAAAAACAGATGCGTCCTATCCCATGACTGTCAGTCCAGTTGTCCCCCAACACTTAACTTAAAAGTTAACCCATTCACAGCATCTATTATGATTCTAGCAGTATACAAAAAGTGTATATTCTAACAACAGGGACCTTCAGGGTTAACGTCACCGACGCCGACGTCACAGTCAGACTCACAATAATAATAAGAGAGGGAGAGGGTGGGGATGGAGAGAGGGAGTGAGGGAGTGAAGGGGAGGGGGGAGGGGAGAAGGAGGGGGAGAGAGGACAGATGGGGGGAGGGAGAGAGAGTGAAACAAATTTCGGTGAGGGGGTGGGGGGGGACAATTGGGATTGGGGATAGCGCTCAATCCCTCTTACCCCCCCACCACCACCACCGCCACCACCCGAAACTTGACCAATTTCGAACCCCCCCCCCACCCCGTTTGGGGTCACGGTGTTGGGTTTGACCGTTAGGTGCGACCCACTTCCTGGGTTGACGGCATCGCTGACCGGCCACCGTGTTCGGTGTAGTTTAGTTTAGACGGCGCTCAGGCCCGTTCTCACCGGGGGGTTTCGAGCTCACGGACGCATTGAACTGCCGCGGTTTTTGCCTAATTTCAGCCGACGGGGCTGCAACGCATTGAATTTCTGTTGAATTACTTGAGTATTGGTCAGTATTAGAGATGAGAGACCCACTTCCCCACTCATAAGCTTCCTGGAGTATGTCCAACTGAGCTTTCCGATTCCCGTTGACCTGGTGTGTGACCGGGTTTGGGAGTCTAAACTTATATTATAATCCTTGCATTTGATATAGCACCTGATCACATCTTCCAGACGTCTCAAAGCGCTTCACAGGGTTTACTGTTAAGTGAATCGACTGTACACACTTTGTGGGCGAAACGCGACAGCCAATTGCGCACAGCAGCGTCCCGTAAACAGTCGTGGATTGAAGCGACCCATTTATTTTATTTGAAGCAATTATTACATTGGGTTGAATCCAGTCACAAACTGTTGGGTTCTGGGCAATGAGCAGAATAAGACCAACTTATTCTTTATAGCCTTCCTTTGAATAAGGAGCCGTGAACAGAGGAACCAAAGACACTCAGCAATTTCTGTTTGAAAATTACATTACTTAACATGAAATGCAAAGTTTTGTTAAGTTCAAAATATCCCAAACACAACAGAAAGGTCAACAGCGGAAACAAACGTCTATCTTCTCCCGTAATCCCCCCCCACCCCCACATCGCCCGCTCCCACCCCGTATCCCCTTAAACGGCAGACAGTGAACCACACGGAAACTGAAGTAAAACCACGTCACTGTTAATGTGCTATAATCAGCAGATTCTCAGCGGCTCAGAGTTTTTCCCGCCATCGCTCTGGTGGGGACTGAGGAGAGGATAAAGCTTCTCAGTGAAAGTGTGGGTGAAAGTGTGGAGATGGGACATGTTGTCAGCGTTGTAAAATGACACCTGTCCCCCCTCATAGTCCAGGTACACCCCGACCTTCCCGGGTCTCACTGTCAGGGGCAGGAGGGTGGGGGGTGAGGTCAGAGCCACATAGACCCCACCCACCAGCCCCACCCCCCAGACCCCACCCGCTGGTGACCAAGTGATTGGTTGTTTCCTGTTGACAGACTCTGTGGCCACTCCCACAATCCACGCAGTCTTGTTGCCCACCTGCACCTCCCAGTAATGTCTCCCTGATGTGAAGCCCTCAGATCCCAGGACGATGAGATAGTAACTGAACCTCTTCGGGGAGACAGGGAGCGGCTGCTCTTTGTCTCCGTGTCTCACACTGGTCAGGTCCTCAGACAGGATGAGCCGGGGATGGGCTGTGTCAGGATCCAGAGTCAGAGCGGCCGGAGCTGAGAGAGAAATAAGACAGAGTGGAGTGAGGGGGTGGCGGAGCGGTGGGGGCGAGGGGGGGGGGGGGGGGCATCAGGAGCGAGGGCGGGCACTAGGGGGCGGTGTGTGAGCTGGTGGTCAGAGGGTCAGTTGCTGAACACAGGACAAACAGCACTGATGGTGTCCCGTCGCCAGCAGCGGGCGTTGGGGTCAGTGTGACGGGTCAATATCGGTGAAAACGCTCACACAGGGCCTCCTACTGACGGTAACGCGGTAACTACAAGAGTACAGAGCTCTGCGCTGTGTTCAGTGACATCTCATCACCAACAATGTTTAGTTTGTGAGGATCAGGTGACTGTCAGATACTCACACACCTTCAGTCTGAGAATGGGAGCCATGTACCTGGGCTGATGCTGTCCATCAGCTCTCTCCAGACGATGTTCCTCAGAGGCCATTTGTATATCCCCACCGGCAGATCCCCCTCAGACACTGACACTGTAAATTCCTCATCACTGATCCTGAAACAAGAGACGTTCACATTATAAAGTGAAACTACACATTGTGTTTGGTTTGTGCAGTAAATTCTGGGGATATTTTGTGAAGAACATTTCATACCTTCTCTTCCGAGCAGTTTCCTCCTAATGAAATAAAACACAGACAGATCTGAGCTCACACTGAGACACCACATTGTAAACTCAGATACACAGAATAGAATTCTATAGCAGCAAAGTCTCTATCAGATTATACCAAATAATCAATAAAATCATTGGGCTGTTTAACAGTCAGACTCTGACTTTCTGCGACAGACTGTGTGTACCTTTTACTGAACTAAATTATAGTGGTAGAGTGCCCGCCAGCCAATAGTGGGGCGAGCAGGGCCGGGGACGTGGGGCAGCTGAGCGGAGGGAGCGATCAGGATGGTAGGGGGTTCGGAGGTCGCAGAGCTTGTGGGGAGCGCGGCCATGGAGGGCCTTTAGGTGAGGACCAGGATTTTGAACTGTATCCTCTGTGTGATGGGAAGCCAGTGGAGTCGGGCGAGGATGGGTGTGATAGGTTCCGGACTGGCCTAGTAAGGTGGAGTGTGCAACCATGGATGGTGATGCTCTCAGCGCCTGAGGTGTGTCGACGCTGACGGGGGCCAATCAGGAGAGCCTCGGTCTTGTTGTCGTTCAACTGAAGAATATTAGCTCCGATCCAGGACTTGATGTCTGACAGACATTCTCTCAGGACAGCAGTGGATCTGGAGTCACGGGTGGAGGCAGAGAGATACCGTTGGGTGTCATCCGCATACGTGTGGAATTTGACCCCATGTCTGCGGGTGATTTCACCAAGAGGGAGCATACAGATATTGAAGAGGAGGGGACCAAGGACAGAGCCCTGAGGAAAGCCAGACAAGATGGTGTGGGGGTTAGAGGAGAAGGCGTTTGTGGAGATGAATTGGAGGCGGTGTGAGAGGTACGATCTGAACCAGTCAAGGACAGCGCCGTAAAGGTTGAGGTGAGAGGAGAGGTGGTGGATGAAGATAGAGTGGTCGACGGTGTCGAAGGCAGCAGAGAGGACGGAAGGGAGAGGGAGTCCTGGTCGCAGATGGACAGAATGTCAAGATAATTTCATCTCTTTACCTGCAGAAAGGTGACAGCGTCTTTTTCCATCTGTTTCTGTAACTCTGAGAGCTTTTGCTGAACAGAAACTAATTTGCCCCGAATCTCTACCAGATTTTTCTCCATTCGGTGTAAAACCTCCTCCTCTCGCTGTCTGAGCTCTCGGATCACACGCTGCTCTCTGTCAGTGAGGCTCTGGTGCATTTTGGCAAACTCAGCCATGATGTGGTTCTCCAGACTGTCCGTCTGTTCCTGCAAATGAAGCGTCAGACATCGCACTATGCACAGTAAAGAGAGACACACGACTGAGAGCCCAGACATCAGCCCCGACACAACTTACCTTCACTTGTGAAATCTTTTCTTTCTGCTTCCCTTCAGCTTCTAGAGCCGCGGCCTTCCTCTGTGTGAGAGAAGCTAAGGAGGAGTTCACTTTATCCTGCTATTAAATAGAAACTGTTAGAAAAATCTTGATTAACCAAACAGAGAATTGGATCAGACTGCGCCCGATTGACTGTCTGGTGCCTTTTACCTTATAGATCTGAACAGCCTCCGCTATGGGGATGAAGCTGTGGGTTCTGTGTTCTCGGGCGTCTCTGCAAATCACACACATCAGTTTCTTGTCTGTTTCACAGAACAGCTTCAGTTCCTCCTGATGCTTCTCACAGTGAAGTTTTCTTCCCGTCTTCACTGGGGCTATGTTCAGCTGATGAGCTTTCTCCACCATCCTCGCCAGGCTCCAGTTGCCCCTCATAATACTGTTGGCAAAGACTGTTCTGCATTCGGGACAGGCTTTGCTCTCCCTGTTTTCCCAGCTCTGTGTGATACAGGAGCGGCAAAAGTTGTGGCCACAATCCAGGGTGACCGGGTCAGTAAAGAGATCCAGACAAACCGAACATTTTAACTCCTCGGTCAGACTGTCAGTCTGGTGTTGAGAAGCCATTTCACCCTCAGCAAATGATTCAAAACTGCTTTCGGTTTCCCTGTTTGTGAGGAGGTGACTCCTCCCGGATAACCAGACAAGAGTTGCTGTTCAGCTCCGCACTGTAATCTTTACTTATCAACTCAGTCCATCCTGAGCACAACTACACAACACTCGTGCAACAGTACTATCTGTACAAAGCAGCCTGCGAAGGGCGGGGGTCTATCTCTGTGACCAGAGAAGGTGGAGTTAGAAACACATCAAAGAAAGAAATAGCTTTGAAACAGCTGAAGTTGTGCGGAGGGGTCAGTGCACTTCCCAGTGGAATCGATAGCGATTCGACTGTATCTCTGCATGTGTCCAGGGGGGTGAGGGAATTTATCTCCAGTAAGAGTTCAATTCCAGGCAGGGCGATAGCTTGGGCAGGTTTCCTTCCTCCACACTCCTAATAATCAAAACAATAATAAATTGGTCATTTTCAATCCAAGACCGTTGTGGGGTACTGCTGTGCGCGATCGGCTGCCGCGTTTCGCCCACAAACGTACAGTCAATTCACTTCACGGTATATTCTGTGAAGCGCTTTGAGAAGGCGTGAAAAAGCGCTGTATCAAATGCAAGGATAATTAATATTATTATTATTATTATAAAGTGAAAGAGGAGGGAGTGGTCGGCAGCAGCCGGAGGAAAGACAAGGATAGAGGTCAGATGGTCGTTACTCAGAGTCATCGGAGCGGGTAGAATGCTATGCTTCTGTGAATACTTATATTTGACAAGTTGTTCAATAAAACGTCGTTACACCACTTTGGATTTGTCGGGTCACATTTCGAACTCAGGGATCGGAAATCCCAACACCACCTTCGAGACGTCTCAAAGTGCTTCAAAGGATTTTCTGCGAAGTGAACTGACTGTGCATTTCGGGGCGAAACGCGGCAACCAATTGCGCACAGCGACGTCCCACAAACAGTGGTGGGTTGAAGCGACCAATTTACTTCATTTGGTTAATTTGAAGGAGTGATTACATTGGGTACGAACCAAAACACAAAGCAGTAGAAACTTGCCGTGTATCCGTCTCCACCTTCTTGCAGGTTCTCTGTGGACCCACAGATCTCGGCACCTTCTCCCGTAATTACCCCCCACCCCCCACCACCACAACGTGCCCCCACCCCCCCATACAGGAGCGGCAAAAGTTGTGGCCACCACAATCCAGGGTGACCGGGTCAGTAAAGAGATCCAGACAAACCGAACGATTTAACTCCTCGGTCAGACTGTCAAGTCTGGTGTTGAGAAGCCATTTCACCCTCAGCGTTGCCTGATTCAAAACTGCTGTCACTTTACCCGTTTGTGAGGAGGTGACTCCTCAGAGTTGCTGTTCAGCTCCGCACTGTAATCTTTACCGATCAACTCAGTCCGTCCTGAGCACAACTACACAACACTTTAGGGACCGGTCGCCGGGGGTCTTCCCTCTCAGCTCCTGTTAAAACCTGTGTGAGACAAAGCGCTGACGAGGACGTGTGAAGCCGCAGGTTTCGAGATGGAAAGGCGCAATTCCAGGACAGACACTGGGATGTGTTTCTCTACCCATAGGATAACGAACGACTGGAACAAGAGAAAAGGGTCAGGAGGTAGAACGATCTGAGCGGAATGAGTTGCAGGTCCTCCATTGCCTGGCTCCATCCTACCTCTGCGACCCGCGAAGGCCGTACCAACCAGTCAGTTCCCTCTGCTCAGCCCACCAACGGCCTTCAGCCCCTCTGCCCCCACCCTTTGGAACTCCATCTCACAGCCCCCTCGCCTCGCTCCCTCCGTTACCTCTTAAGACCTTCCTTTTCGACTGAGCCTTGAGCCACACTCCAACCACTACCCTCTCTGCCCTCCACCCTCCCACCACTACCCTCCCTGCCCTCCACCCTCCTACCACTACCCTCTCTGCCCTCCACCCTCCTACCACTACCCTCCCTGCCCTCCACCCTCCCTACCCTCCAACCACTACCCTCTCTGCCCTCCACCCTCCCACCACTACCCTCCCTACCCTCCACCCTCCAACCACTACCCTCCCTGCCCTCCACCCTCCCACCACTACCCTCCCTACCCTCCACCCTCCAACCACTACTCTCCCTGCCCTCCACCCTCCTACCACTACCCTCCCTGCCCTCCACCCTCCAACCACTACCCTCCCTGCCCTCCACCCTCCAACCACTACCCTCCCTGCCCTCCACCCTCCCACCACTACCCTCCCTGCCCTCCACCCTCCTACCACGACCCTCCCTGCCCTCCACCCTCCTACCACTACCCTCCCTACCCTCCACCCTCCTACCACTACCCTCTCTGCCCTCCACCCTCCTATCACTACCCTCCCTGCCCTCCACCCTCCTACCACTACCCTCCCTGCCCTCCACCCTCCTACCACTACCCTCCCTGCCCTCCAACCACTACCCTCCCTACCCTCCACCCTCCAACCACTACCCTCCCTGCCCTCCACCCTCCTACCACTACCCTCCCTGCCCTCCACCCTCCAACCACTACCCTCCCTGCCCTCCACCCTCCAACCACTACCCTCCCTGCCCTCCACCCTCCCACCACTACCCTCCCTGCCTCCACCCTCCTACCACTACCCTCCCTGCCCTCCACCCTCCAACCACTACCCTCCCTGCCCTCCACCCTCCTACCACTACCCTCCCTACCCTCCACCCTCCTACCACTACCCTCCCTACCCTCCACCCTCCTACCACTACCCTCCCTACCCTCCAACCACTACCCTCCCTGCCCTCCACCCTCCTACCACTACCCTCCCTACCCTCCACCCTCCTACCACTACCCTCCCTACCCTCCAACCACTACCCTCCCTACCCTCCACCCTCCTACCACTACCCTCCCTACCCTCCACCCTCCTACCACTACCCTCCCTACCCTCCAACCACTACCCTCCCTGCCCTCCACCCTCCTACCACTACCCTCCCTACCCTCCACCCTCCTACCACTACCCTCCCTACCCTCCAACCACTACCCTCCCTGCCCTCCACCCTCCTACCACTACCCTCTCTGCCCTCCACCCTCCTACCACTACCCTCCCTGCCCTCCACCCTCCCACCACTACCCTCTCTGCCCTCCACCCTCCTACCACTACCCTCCCTGCCCTCCACCCTCCTACCACTAACCCTCCCTACCCTCCACCCTCCTACCACTACTCTCCCTGCCCTCCACCCTCCTACCACTACCCTCCCTGCCCTCCAACCACTACCCTCCCTACCCTCCACCCTCCAACCACTACCCTCCCTACCCTCCACCCTCCAACCACTACCCTCCCTGCCCTCCACCCTCCAACCACTACCCTCCCTACCCTCCACCCTCCAACCACTACCCTCCCTGCCCTCCACCCTCCAACCACTACCCTCCCTGCCCTCCACCTCCTACCACTACCCTCCCTACCCTCCACCCTCCTACCACTACCCTCCCTGCCCTCCACCCTCCTACCACTACCCTCTCTGCCCTCCACCCTCCTACCACTACCCTCCCTGCCCTCCACCCTCCTACCACGACCCTCCCTGCCCTCCACCCTCCTACCACTACCCTCCCTGCCTCCAACCACTACCCTCCCTGCCCTCCACCCTCCTACCACTACCCTCCCTGCCCTCCACCCTCCTACCACGACCCTCCCTGCCCTCCAACCACTACCCTCCCTGCCCTCCACCCTCCTACCACTACCCTCCCTGCCCTGACCTGCTGCTGTCTCTGGGCTTCAGGCCTCGTCCCTCGTCGCTCTTCCTCCCCCTTCAGGGGGTCGTCGTTGCCGCCGACGACGACGACGAAAGGCTCCCGAAGCCGCGCGGGAGCCGCGAGCGCCGACCGTTAGGCGCCGAGGATCACGTGCTGGTGGTGGGGGGGGGGAGGAGCGGCGCCTGCGCGGTGACGGCCGATACCCTTATATGGTCAGACCACGTGCTGGTGGGCCTCGCGGGCGGCCAATGGGCGTCATCCTGTCAGATAGGGCGGGAGAGAAACACACCCACGCGACGAGCCCCGCCCAGAGCACGTGACGAGGGAGCGCGCGAGACGGAGCCGCGAGAGGGGGGGGGGCGGCGACCGTTCGGCGGCTCCGACTGTGAGGCGCCGAGGAGCGCGCGGAGCCCCGGCTCGAGGCGGGGGCGGCGCCTGCGCGGTGGCGGCCGCGGCCCCGTCTGGGGTGAGACCACGTGCTGAGGAGCCCCGCGAGCGGCCAATGGGGGACGCGGCGGGAGCCCACGTGATGAGCGGGAGTGGGCGGGAGACAGAGAGGCGCGAGCGGCGACCGTTACAGCTCGAGCTTCACATCCCCCCCACAGGGACAGTTAGAGAGGAGACCCCCCCACAGGGACAGTTAGAGAGAGGAGACCCCCCCACAGGGACAGTTAGAGAGGAGACCCCCCCACAGGGACAGTTAGAGAGGAGACCCCCCCCACAGGGACAGTTAGAGAGGAGACCCCCCCCACAGGGACAGTTAGAGAGAGGAGACCCCCCCACAGGGACAGTTAGAGAGGAGACCCCCCCACAGGGACAGTTAGAGAGGAGACCCCCCCACAGGGACAGTTAGAGAGGAGACCACCCCCCACAGGGACAGTTAGAGAGGAGACCCCCCCCACAGGGACAGTTAGAGAGGAGACCCCCCCACAGGGACAGTTAGAGAGGAGACCCCCCCACAGGGACAGTTAGAGAGGAGACCCCCCCACAGGGACAGGTAGAGAGACCCCCCCCCACAGGGACAGTTAGAGGAAAGGAGACCCCCCCCCCCCCACCACAGGGACAGTTAGAGAGAGGAGACCCCCCACAGGGACAGTTAGAGAGAGGAGACCCCCCCACAGGGACAGTTAGAGAGGAGACCCCCCCCACAGGGACAGTTAGAGAGAGGAGACCCCCCCCCACAGGGACAGTTAGAGAGAGGAGACCCCCCACAGGGACAGTTAGAGAGGAGACCCCCCCACAGGCACAGTTAGAGAGGAGACCCCCCCCCACAGGGACAGTTAGAGAGGGGAGACCCCCCACAGGGACAGTTAGAGAGAGGAGACCCCCCACAGGGACAGTTAGAGAGAGGAGACCCCCCACACAGGCACAGTTAGAGAGAGGAGACCCCCCCCCCCAGAGCTACACTGGAGGATCAGACTGGACGATCAGCCCAAAGAGCCCCCGACGCGGGGCTGGAACCCGCGACCCCCTGACTCAGAGGTAAGACCCTCCGCCCGAGCCGGGCCGCCTGACGGCTCACAGCGAGACCCCCATCGGCCGTGTCCGGCCACAGTGTTCGAAAATAAAATCAGCCAAATCTGTAAGGAAATAACGCTGATTCCTCTCACCAGATATCAGACTGTTTTATTATTATTATTCGTTCGTTACTCCCCAATATCCCCGATGGGTCAGACCAAAGGCCGATACAATCAACAGATCTTACAACAGAATAACACCACTATAGGTATCTCGAGTTCAGGAGTTCAACACTGTGCCTTTCCAGCCCACAAGTTTGATTCTTCATGTTTTCAGTCTTCTTGCCGACAGCTTTCAATCCTCCATCTGATATCCTCAGTCTCAGTGTTTCCAGCTCTCAGTCTTCCATCTCCCGTATCCTTGTCTCCGCAGCCCGGGATGGCTCCATCTCCCGTATCCTTGTCTCCGCAGCCCGGGACGGCTCCATCTCCCGTATCCTTGTCTCCGCAGCCCGGGACGGCCCCATCTCCCGTATCCTTGTCTCCACGACCCGGGACGGCCCCATCTCCCGTATCCTTGTCTCCACGACCCGGGACGGCCCCATCTCCCGTATCCTTGTCTCCGCAGCCCGGGACGGCCCCATCTCCCGTATCCTTGTCTCCACGACCCGGGACGGCCCCATCTCCCGTATCCTTGTCTCCGCAGCCCGGGACGGCTCCATCTCCCGTATCCTTGTCTCCACGACCCGGGACGGCCCCATCTCCTGTATCCTTGTCTCCACGACCCGGGATGGCTCCATCTCCCGTATCCTTGTCTCCACGACCCGGGACGGCCCCGGACACAAAGTTAACAGAACTTTTACACCAATGTTCATCCAATCATGGTGCGGACATTAGATCACCCGGTCGAAATCATGCCGGGTGTACGTGCCTCAGCCCACATACACATTGTCCTTAAGACCCCCTGTTATCTGATCTAATTGTCTAAGATAGAGGTTTGATCAGTTTAGGGCTGTATCTGGTGCTCATTATTTTGTGGTGTGGGATCATTGGTACATTCCTTTTAAGTGACTGGTTATTTCTTATCAGTATCCCCCGGGATGGTACCGAGGTCCTCTAGTCTAAGCAACTTGCTCATTAATTGCTATTCTTGAGGGTTGCCTTCTGTCGGTCGGCCCTGTCAGAATCTAGCGACTTATTGCTCAGTCAAGATCCTGTGTCGACCGGTACCTTGGACCGTCACCTCTGTGGTTTGTTGTCATTTACTGATAAGAGGTGACCCCCGGCCCCTGTCCGTTATTCTTTCAAAAACAGAGGAAAACAGATGAGTCCTATCCCATGACTGTCAGTCCAGTTGTCCCCCAACACTTAACTTAAAAGTTAACCCATTCACAGCATCTATTATGATTCTAGCAGTATACAAAAAGTGTATATTCTAACAACAGGGACCTTCAGGGTTAACGTCACCGACGCCGAGTGGGAGTCACAGTCAGACTCACAATAATAATAAGAGAGGGAGAGGGTGGGGATGGAGAGAGGGAGTGAGGGAGTGAAGGGGAGGGGGGAGGGGAGAAGGAGGGGGAGAGAGGACAGATGGGGGGAGGGAGAGAGAGTGAACCAAATTTCGGTGAGGGGGTGGGGGGGGGACAATTGGGATTGGGGATAGCGCTCAATCCCTCTTACCCCCCCCACCACCACCACCGCCACCACCCGAAACTTGACCTATTTCGAACCCCCCCCCACCACCCCGTTTGGGGGTCACGGTGTTGGGTTTGACCGTTAGGTGCGACCCACTTCCTGGGTTGACGGCATCGCTGACCGGCCACCGTGTTCGGTGTAGTTTAGTTTAGACGGCGCTCAGGCCCGTTCTCACCGGGGGGTTTCGAGCTCACGGACGCATTGAACTGCCGCGGTTTTTGCCTAATTTCAGCCGACGGGGCTGCAACGCATTGAATTTCTGTTGAATTACTTGAGTATTGGTCAGTATTAGAGATGAGAGACCCACTTCCCCACTCATAAGCTTCCTGCAGTATGTCCAACTGAGCTTTCCGATTCCCGTTGACCTGGTGTGTGACCGGGTTTGGGAGTCTAAACTTATATTATAATCCTTGCATTTGATATAGCACCTGATCACATCTTCCAGACGTCTCAAAGCGCTTCACAGGGTTTACTGTTAAGTGAATCGACTGTACACACTTTGTGGGCGAAACGCGACAGCCAATTGCGCACAGCAGCGTCCCGTAAACAGTCGTGGATTGAAGCGACCCATTTATTTTATTTGAAGCAATTATTACATTGGGTTGAATCCAGTCACAAACTGTTGGGTTCTGCGCAATGAGCAGAATAAGACCATCTTATTCTTTATAGCCTTCCTTTGAATAAGGAGCCGTGAACAGAGGAACCAAAGACACTCAGCAATTTCTGTTTGAAAATTACATTACTTAACATGAAATGCAAAGTTTTGTTAGTTCAAAAGATCCCAAATACAACAGAAAGGTCAACAGCGGAAACAAACGTCTATCTTCTCCCGTAATCCCCCCCCACCCCCACATCGCCCGCTCCCACCCCGTATCCCCTTAAACGGCAGACAGTGAACCACACGGAAACTGAAGTAAAACCACGTCACTGTTAATGTGCTATAATCGGCAGATTCTCAGCGGCTCAGAGTTTTTCCCGCCATCGCTCTGGTGGGGACTGAGGAGAGGATAAAGCTTCTCAGTGAAAGTGTGGGTGAAAGTGTGGAGAAGGAACATGTTGTCAGCGTTGTAAAATGACACCTGTCCCCCCTCATAGTCCAGGAAAACCCCGACCTTCCCGGGTCTCACTGTCAGGGGCAGGAGGGTGGGGGGTGAGGTCAGAGCCACATGGACCCCACCACCCATCCCCACACCCCAGACCCCACCCGCTGGTGACCAAGTGATTGGTTGTTTCCTGTTGACAGACTCTGTGGCCACTCCCACAATCCACGCAGTCTTGTTGCCCACCTGCACCTCCCAGTAATGTCTCCCTGATGTGAAGCCCTCAGATCCCAGGACACTGAGAGATTTACTAAACCTCTTCGGGGTGTCAGGGAGCGGCTGCCATTCGTCTCCGTATCTCACGCTGGTCAGGTCCTCAGACAGGATGAGCCAGGGATTGGCTGTGTCAGGATCCAGAGTCAGAGCGGCCGGAGCTGAGAGAGAAATAACACAGAGTGGAGTGAGGGGGTGACGGAGAAGGGGGGCAGCAGGAGCGAGGGCGGGCACTAGGGGGCGGTGTGTGAGCTGGTGGTCAGAGGGTCAGTTGCTGAACAGCACTGATGGTGTCCCGTCGCCAGCAGCGGGCGCTGGGGTCAGTGTGACGGGTCAATATCGGTGAAAACGCTCACACAGCGCCTCCTACTGACGGTAACGCGGTAACTACAAGAGTACAGAGCTCTGCGCTGTGTCCCTCAGTGACATCTCATCACCAACACTGTTTAGTTTGTGAGGATCAGGTGACTGTCAGATACTCACACACCTTCAGTCTGAGAATAGGAGCCATGTACCTGGGCTGATGCTGTGTCTCATGTCTCTCCAGACTGTGTACTGTATAAGCCATTCAAACATCCCCACAGGCAGATCCCCCTCAGATAGTGACAGTGTATAACCCTCATCACTGATCCTGAAATAAGAGACGTTCACATTATAAAGTAAAACTACACATTGTGTTTGGTTTGTGCAGTAAATTCTGGGGATATTTTGTAAAGAACATTTCATACCTTCTCTTCCGAGCAGTTTCCTCCTAATGAAATAAAACACAGACAGATCTGAGCTCACACTGAGACACCACATTGTAAACTCAGATACACATTATAGGATTCTACAGCAGCAAAGTCTCTATCAGATTATACCAAATAATCAATAAAATCACTGGGCTGTTTAACAGTCAGAATCTGACTTTCTGCGACAGACTGTGTGTACCTTTTACTGAACTAAATTATACAACAACAAAATTACATTTGTAAAGCGCCTTTCACATCGGGAGGATGTCCCAAGGCGCTGGACAGTCAGAGTTTCGGACCCGAGCTGGGAGTCGGGATCGGGGCGGTTGGAGGGCTCGGGGAGAAGTGGGTGATCAAACGCATGGTCAGGGAGGAGGGTCCGGAGATGAGTCTTCAAGCAGGCAAGGGAGGGGGCACGGCGGGTGGACTGCGGGGTGGAGTTCCAGAGGGCGTGGACAGAGTGGCAGAGTGCCCGCCAGCCAATAGTGGGACGAGCAGGGCGGGGGACGTGAGGCAGCCTGGAGCCCGCTGAGCGGAGGGAGCGATCAGGATGGTAGCGGGTTAGGAGTTTGCAGAGCTTGTGGGGAGCGCGGCCATGGAGGGCCTTTAGGTGAGGTCCAGGATCTTAAACTGTATCCTCTGTGTGATGGGAAGCCAGTGGAGTCGGGTGAGGATGGGTGTGATAGGGTCACGGAGCCAAGTGTGGGAGAGAAGGCGGTCTGCAGAGTTCTGGATGATCTGCAGCCTAAGGAGGGAGTAGTTGGGGAGGCTGACGAGCTGAACGTGTGTATGGGGGTTTCGGCGGCCTACGGTGTGAGACAGTGGTGGAGCCGGGTGATGGTGCGGAGGTGGGGGAAGGCAGAGCGGGTCATGGCGCAGATTTGGTTTAGAAACAATAGTTGAGGGTCAAACAAGACGCCAATTTTCTGGACTGGGTTAGTAAGGTGGAGTGCGCAACCATGGATGATGATTCTGCTGATGCCTGAGGTGAGGAGGCGCAGACGGGGGCCAATCAGGAGGCCTCGGTCTTGTTGATGTTTAACTGAAGAATATTAGCTCTGATCCAGGACTTGATGTCCGACAGACATTCTGTCAGGACAGCAGTGGATCTGGAGTCGAAGGTGGAAGCAGAGAGTTACAGTGGGTGTCATCCGCATACGTGTGGAAGTAGATCCCCCGTCTGCGGATGATGTCACCCAAGAGGGAGCATATAGATATTGAACAGGAGGGGACGAAGGACAGAGCTCTGAGGAACGCCACATGAGATGGTGCGGAGGCTATAGAGGAGAAGCCGTTTGTGGAGATGAAGTGGAGACGGTGTGAGAGGTACAATCGGAACCAATCAAGGAGCGCCGTGAAGGTTGCGGTGAGAGGAGAGGCGGTGGCTGAAGACAGAGGGGTCGACGGTGTTGAAGGCAGCAGAGAGGATGAGGAGACAGAGGAAGTCCTGGTCGCAGATGAACAGAATGTCAATATAATTTCATCTCTTTACCTGCAGAAAGGTGAGAGCGTCTTTTTCCATCTGTTTCTGTAACTCTGAGAGCTTTTGCTGAACAGAATCTAATTTGCTCTGAATCTGTCGCAGATTTTTCTCCATTCGGTGTAAAACCTCCTCCTCTCGCTGTCTGAGCTCTCGGATTTCACGCTGCTCTCTGTCAGTGAGGCTCTGGTGCATTTTAGCAAACTCAGCCGTGATGTGGTTCTGCAGAATGTCCGCCTGTTCCTGCAAAATGAACCATCAGCCATCACACTGCGCACAGTAAAGAGAGAAACACGACTGAGAGCCCAGACATCAGCCCCGACACAACTTACCTTAACTTGTGAAATCTTTTCTTTCTGTTTCCCTTCAGCTTCCAGAGCCGCGGCCTTCCTCTGTGTGAGAGAGTCTAAGAAGGAGTTCACTTTATCCTGGAATTAAATAGAAACTGTGAGAAAAATCTTGATTAACGAAACAGAGAATTGGATCAGACTGCGCCCGATTGACTGTCTGGTACCTTTTACCTTATAGATCTGAACAGCCTCCGCTACGGGGATGAAGCTGTGGGTTCTGTGTTCTCGGGCGTCTCTGCAAATCACACACATCAGTTTCTTGTCTGTTTCACAGAACAGCTTCAGTTCCTCCTGATGCTCCTCACAGTGAAGTTTTCTTTCTGTCTTCACCGGGGAAATGTTGAGCCGTCGAGCTTTCTCCGCCAGCCTCGCCAGGGCCCAGTTGCCCCTCATGTTACTGTTAGCAAAGACTGTTCTGCATTCGGGACAGGCTTTGCTCTCCCTGTTTTCCCAGCTCTGGGAGATACAGGAGCGGCAAAAGTTGTGGCCACAATCCAGGGTGACCGGGTCGGTAAAGAGTTCCAGACAAACCGAACATTTTAACTCCTCGGTCAGACAGTCAGTCTGGTGTTGAGAAGCCATTTCACCCTCAGCGTTTCCTGATTCAAAACTGCTTTCAGTTTCCCTGTTTGTGAGGAGGTGACTCCTCCCTGATAACCAGTCAGAGTTGCTGTTCAGCTCCGCTCTGTAATCTTTACTGATCAACTCAGTCCATCCTGAGCCAAACTACACAACTCTTTAGGGACCAGTCGCCGGGGGCTGGGGGTCCTCCCTCTCAGCTCACGGTTGCACACTCCACCTTGCTGAGCCAGTCCGGAAACTTGGTGTCTTGTTTGATCCTCAACTATCCTTTCTACCCCATATCTGAGCCATGACCCGCTCTGCCTTCCTCACCTCCGCAACATCGCCCGGCTCCGCCACCGTCTCACTCCGCAGGCCGCCAAAACCCTCATACACGCCTTCATTACATCCAGGCTCAACTATGCAATCTCACTGCTTGTCGGCTGCTCGCTCACTCCGCTCAGCGGGCTCCGGCCTTATTCACTTCCCCGCCTCGCTCACCCCACTGTTGGTGGCTGGACCATCTGCCACTCTGCCCCCACCCTCTGGAACTCCATCCTGCAGTCCCTCTGGCTTGCTCCCTCCCTCAACACCTTCAAGACCCATCTCGAGACCTTCCTCTTCGACCGTGCTTTCGATCTCCCTGCTTCCCCTCCCCCTGCCCTCCACACTCCCCCGACCCTCACCCCCATTTCGGGTCCCAAACTCCTCCCAATGTGAAAGGCGCTTCACTGATGTAATTTTGTTGCTGTTGTTAACCCTCTGTGAGCCACAGCCTGACTGGGAAGGGTGGTCCTCGTTGGACAACCAGTGGGAAGCTTGCCAGACGGTGTAGTAACTGGTTAAACACTAGCAGTTAACCACCAATAAAAACCTGGGGCTCTTGCCCAGCTCCACTGGCTCCCCATCCCCCAGAGGATAATAATAATAATCCTTGTATTTGATATTGCGCCTTATCACGTCTTCGAGACATCTCAAAGCGCTTCACAGAATAGACTGCAAAGCGAAATGACCATTTTTTTTTTCTGGACAAAGCGCGGCAGCCGATTGCGCACAGCAGCGTCCCACAAACAGTTGTGGGTTCAAAATGAACAACTTATTATTTTTTTTTGGAGGGATTAATAGTAGGCTCTGTGTGGAGTAAGGAAACTTGCCCGAGGTTTCGCCCTCTGTCTGGAATTGAACCCGGGTGTCTCGCTCTAACCACTGAGCTACAGGACTCCACTTTAATATCAACTTAATATGAAACTTAACATGAAACTATACTTAATATGAAATACAAAGTTTATTAGTTCAAAGTATCACAAATACAACAGACAGCAGCAGGTCAACAGCAGAAACAAACGTCTATCAAAGGGAATTGGTCAAGTCACAAAGAGCAAAAATCTCGCTGCAGACGAAAAGGAGAACACTTTAACGTAACAATGATTAAAACATGAATTTGTTCTGGGAAAACCTCTTCAACTGCCTCATCGTTAACACAACCATGAATGGATTTGTTGTGGGCAAACGTCTTCAAGAACCACAAACAATCATCTTGACATTTTTCTGGTTATATCATCATTTTTAACCATTCATCAAAAGGGCGTCTATTCAGCATTGAGCATTTCCAACCATTGATCAAAATAATCCGTTTGACGACATGGGTTAACATATATGTACAATTTCAGTTATGATCACAACAAAACCAACAGAAACTCGCTGTGTCCGTCTCCAGGAGGTCTGTGGACCCACAGAGCTCGGCATCTTCTCCTGTAATTCCCCCCTCCACCGCGTATTCCCTAAAGCAACACAGTGGATCGCGTGGAAACTGAGATAAAACCACGTCGCTGTTAATGTGTTAAAACCGGCAGATTCTCAGCGGCTCCGAGTTGTTACCGTCAGAGAAACACAAATCACTTGTATACGTAAAAAATAGAGGACCTGAAGGACAGAAGAGAGGGTAAAGCTTCTCAGTGAAAGTGTGGGTGAAAGTGTGGAGATGGGACATGTTGTCAGCGTTGTAAAATGACACCTGTCCCCCCTCATAGTCCAGGAAAATCCCGATCTTCCCGGGTCTCACTGTCAGGGGCAGGGGGGTGGGAGGGGAGGTCAGAGCCACATGGACCCCACCCCCCAGACCCACCCCCCAGACCCCACCCTCTGGTGACCACGTGATTGGTTGTTTCCTGTTGACAGACTCTCTGGTCACTCCCACAGTCCACGCAGTCTTGTTGCCCACCTGCACCTCCCAGTAATGTCTCCCTGATGTGAAGCCCTCAGATCCCAGGACGATGAGATAGTAACTGAACCTCTTCGGGGAGTCAGGGAGCGGCTGCTGTTTGTCTCCGTCTCTCACGCTGGTCAGGTCCTCAGACAGGATGAGCCGGGGATGGGCTGTGTCTGGATCCAGAGTCAGAGCGGCCGGAGCTGAGAGAGAAATAACACAGAGTGGAGTGAGGGGGTGACGGAGAAGGGGGGCATCAGGAGCGAGGGCGGGCACTAGGGGGCGGTGTGTGAGCTGGTGGTCAGAGGGTCAGTTGCTGAACAGCACTGATGGTGTCCCGTCGCCAGCAGCGGGCGCTGGGGTCAGTGTGACGGGTCAATATCGGTGAAAACGCTCACACAGCGCCTCCTACTGACGGTAACGCGGTAACTACAAGAGTACAGAGCTCTGCGCTGTGTCCCTCAGTGACATCTCATCACCAACAATGTTTAGTTTGTGAGGATCAGGTGACTGTCAGATACTCACACACCTTCAGTCTGAGAATGGGAGCCATGTACCTGGGCTGATGCTGTGTCTCATGTCTCTCCAGACTGTGTACTGTAGAGGCCCTTTGTATATCCCCACCGGCAGATCCCCCTCAGATAGTGACAGTGTATAACCCTCATCACTGATCCTGAAATAAGGGACGTTCACATTATAAAGTTAAACTGCACATTGTGTTTGGTTTGTGCAGTAAATTCTGGGGATATTTTGTGAAGAACATTTCATACCTTCTCTTCCGAGCAGTTTCCTCCTAATGAAATAAAACACAGACAGATCTGAGCTCACACTGAGACACCACATTGTAAACTCAGATACACAGAATAGAATTCCACAGCAGCAAAGTCTCTTATCAGATTATACCAAATAATCAATAAAATCACTGCGCTGTTTAACAGTCAAGACTGTGACTTTCTGCTCCAGATTCTGAACCTTTGCTGAACTAAATTATAATTTCACCTCTTTACCTGCAGAAAGGTGAGAGCATCTTTTTCCATCTGTTTCTGTAACTCTGAGAGCTTTTCCTGATCAGAGTCTAATTTGCCCCGAATCTCTCGCAGGTTTTTCTCCATTCGGTGTAAAACCTCCTCCTCTCGCTGTCTGAGCTCTCGGATTTCACGCTGCTCTCTGTCAGTGAGGCTCTGGTGCATTTTGGCAAACTCAGCCGTGATGTGGTTCTGCAGATTGTCCGCCTGTTCCTGCAAAATGAAGCGTCAGACATCACACTGCGCACAGTAAAGAGAGACACACGACTGAGAGCCCAGACATCAGCCCCGACACAACTTACCTTCACTTGTGAAATCTTTTCTTTCTGTTTCCCTTCAGCTTCCAGAGCCGCAGCATTACTCTGTGTGAGAGAATCTAAGGAGGAGTTCACTTTATCCTGGAATTAAACACAAACACACAGAGGAAATGTGTTTGGATGTGAAAATATAAAGTGGAAGAGAATGAATCCCGTGTCGGGGTTATTGCTTACCTTGTAGATTTCAACAGCTTCGTCAATGGGCAGGAAGCTGTGATCTCTGTGTTCCTGTGCATCTCTGCAGATGGAACAGATCAACTTCTTGTCAGTTTCACAGAAGAGCCTCAGTTGTTTCTGGTGTTTCTCACAGCGATGTTTAATTGTTGTCTTTTTCGGGTCCAGGTTCATTTCCCGAGCTTTCTCTGACAGATTCCCCAAGGCCCGATTGGTCCTGAGATTCCTTTCCAGGAAAGTCTCCTGACACACAGGACAGGAGCTCGGCCCCGGCTTTTCCCAGCACCGTGTGATGCAGGAGCGGCAGAAGCTGTGGCTACAATCCAGGATAACGGGATCAGTAAAGAGTTCCAGACAAACCGGACAAATTAACTCCTCGGTCAGACTCTGAGTCTGGTGTTGAGAAGCCATTTTACCCTCAGCGTTTCCTGAGTCAAAACTGCTTTCATTTCCCCTTTATGTGAGGAAGTGACTCCTCCCTGATAACCAGTCAGAGTTGTTGTTCAGCTCCACACTGTAATCTTTACTAATCAACTCAGTCCATCTTGAGCTGAACTACAGAACGCTTTGGGGACCAGTCGCTGGGGGCTGGGGGTCTTCCCTCTCAGCTCCTGTCAACCCTCTGTGAGCCACAGCCCTGACGAGGAAGGGTGGTCCTCGCTGGACAAACAGCGGGAAGCTTGCCAGACGGTGTAGTAACTGGTTAAACACCAGTAGTTACCCACCAACCCACTCTCAGGCTCTAGTCCAGCTCCACTGGCTCCCCATCCGCCAAAGGATAATAATAATAATAATCCTTGTATTTGATATTGCGCCTTATCACGTCTTCGAGACGTCTCAAAGCGCTTCACAGAATGAATTGACTGTATATTTTGGGGGAAAAACATATAGAGTTCAAAATCCTCATCCTCGCCTTCAAAGCCCTCCACAGCCTTGCTCCTCCCTACCTCTGTGACCTGCTAATACCATGTCCACCTGTCCGCTCCCTCCGCTCAGCAGGCTCTCAGGAAACTTGCCCAACATTTTGTCCTGCCCGGGAATCGGTCCCGGGTCCTCTCGCTTGGAGGCGAGCGCTCTAACCACTGTGGTACTGCACTCCACAATTGCGTATAAGTCAGAATTGATACGATTAACACATCGCAGTCAACAAGTGCCTCGTTTTCAATCCCTGTTTCGTTGTCCGTGGACTTAATGACCGCAGCAGGTCAGCGCGCATGTGGGAGAGTGTGGAGACAGGGGAGGGGGACACCTTGCTCCCTCCCTTGCCTCCTTCAAGCACGATCCAGACCCTCCTTTTCAACCGTGCCTTCAGCCACTCTCCATCCTCTCTGCCCTCCCTCATCCCAACCCTGCCCTGTCCACGCTCGGGTCCTGACCGTTCAGCGCCTTGGGACGTCCTCCTGACGTGAAAATGTCACTTTGCGGTTGTTACTTGTTACTGTAACTGAGCCAGCCTTGCATGACGGTCTCCGGTTCGGTTTCTGAGCCAGGCGGGTTAGCAGTTTTCCAGGGCACGGCCCGGCCTCCGGAAGGGCCTGGAAAAGCAGACCGGTCCCTGGAAAGCAGGGAATCATCCCACATCCCAGCTTCTGTCAACCCTGCAATCCAGAGACCTAATGGGTTGGGTAGTCCTAGCTGCAAGAAGCCTTGCCGGACAGCGATATCAATGGCAAGCTGTGCGGTTGCAGAGTGCACCCTCTGGGGGTCCCTCCAACAACAACAAAATGACATTTGTAAAGCGCCTTTCACGTCGGAAGGACGTGCCAAGCCTTGGCTCTTGCCGACCTGAGCCAAATACTTTCCGGTATTAGGTAAGCAGGATGTGTCCCTCCAGGGAGACAGTGGGCGCACCATTCCAACAATCTATCTTTATGCGCACCATTTCCACGGGTAAGGGGGAATGCGTGGCATCCTCAACTCGGTTTGGAGACTCTAAAGGACGGTGATGGGTTTTCGCAAGTGTCGAACGTCCAGCTGACTGAATAAAACGGTCACCTCCGCTGGCGGCGGTACACCATCAGTGCTGTTTATCCTGTATTCCGCAACTAACCCTCTGCCCACCAGCTCACACACCGGCCCCGAGTGCCGCCCTCGCTCCTGCAACCCCCCCCCCACCCCCCTCCCGTGACCCCCTCACTCCACTCTGTGTTATTTTTCTCTCTCCCTCAGCTCCGGCCTCTCTGACTCTGGATAGCTTGGGGGCCCTACATCATGAGTTAACTGGTTTATCGGTTTAATCGGCCCAGAGGACCACCTTTCTCCATCGGGGCTTTGGCTCACAGCGGGTTATCAGGGGCTGAGAGGGAAGACTCACAGCACCCCAGTGACTGGTCCCTGAAGTGTTCTGCAGTTGTGCTCAGGACGCATTCATTTGATAATCGCAAACAGGGAAAGTGAAAGCAGTTTTGAATCAGGAAGTGCTGAGGGTGAAATGGCTTCCCAACGCCAGGCTGACAGTCAGACCGAGGAGTTAAAATGTCCGGTGTGTCCGCAGCTCTTTGCCGATCCCGCCACCCCGAAGTGCGGCCGCAGCCTCTGCCGCTCCCGCATCACGCCGGGCTGCGAAAAAGAGGGGCCGAGCTCCTGCCCTGTATGTCAGGAGCCCTTCTCAGAAAGGAACCTCAAGGCCCTGGCGTATCTGTCGAAGAAAGCTCAGGGTTTGAGCCTGGCTTCGAAAGAGACGGTTATCACAAGTCACTGTGAGGAACACCGGGAAGAATCAAAGCTGCTGTGCGAAATTGAAGAGAAACTGATCTGTGACCCCTGCAGAGATGCACAGGAATACAGAGATCACAATTCCTTGGCCAGTGACAAAGCTGTTGAAATCGACAAGGTAAAAAATAGCCCTCACCACGGGATTAATTGATATTAATTCACATTGTCGCAGTCAAACAATTTTCCTCTCTGTATTTTGTTCCAGGAAGGCGTGAACTCCGCCTCAGCTTCTCCCGCGCAGAGGGAGGCCACCGCTCCAGAAGCTGAAGGGAAACGGAAACAAGAGGTCTCACAAGTTAACGTAAGTCGTTTCGGGGGCTGATGTCTGGACTCTCGGTCGCATTTTTCACTTGAACCGCGTGAGCTCGAAACCCTCCTCTTTTGACTGAGCCTTCGACCACCCTCCTCCCCTCCTCCTTCCCCAATCCCAACACCGATCCCGGGTCCAAATCCCTGACTGTTCAGCACCTTGCCTTCCCGACGTGAAAGGTGCGGGACAAATGCAATTTATGTATTGTATATCCGACATTTCATTGTGCAGAAACAGGTGCCAACATCCGGGGACACTTTAGCTGTGGTGATCCTGAGCTTTAGCATTTATTTATCTGTGGGAGAATGTTACAATCATTCACCTTCTAATTAAAGTGTAATCCCGTTAATGTTCTAATGTACAGTAACTACAGATGCGCATCTGGAAGGTACTGTGTGTGTGTGTGTCTGTACGTAAGCAGATCTCACTGTGTGTCCCCGTCTATAATCGCACGCAAACGGCACTTTATAGTTGTTCTATATCTGAACAGTATAATCCCATTAAAGTTCTACTTACTGTATCTACAGGTCAGTAGGTGTAACTTACTGAGCGTGAGTGTGTGTCTGTACGCAGGTCTCATGTGTCCCTGACGACGAACACACACAAACACCACTTTATACTTTCTCTCTATCTGAACTTTCTGGCTTTGGAGACGACACTGAGTGACGAACGTTCCTGTAATAATTACAGTGAACCGTTCTGCAGAATTCTACTCTGTGTATCTGAGTTTACAATGTCGTTCGTGTCTCAGTCTGAGCTCAGATCTGTCTTGTGTTTTATTTCATTAGGAGGAAACTGCTCGGAAGCGAAGGTATGAAACGTTCTTCAAAAAATATTCCCAGAATTCACAACACAAACCAAACGCAATGCGCAGTTTCACTTCATAATGTGAACGTCTCTTACTTTAGCATCGGTGCGGAGGATATTCAGCTGTCGTTACCTGAGGGTGATCTTCCTGTGGGGATCTACAAAGAACCTGCACAGTGCACAACTGGGAGAGAGATTACAGACCTCGACAGTCCAGGTAAACGTCTCCCATTTTCAGAATGAAGGTGTGTGAATAGTCTGACGTTCACCTGGATCCTAACAAATTAAACAGCCCAGGGCACTTTACCCTTGAATTATCTCTAAGTCACCAGTCCGTGGCGCTGTGTGAGCGCTTTTAATCCACTGTTTCCTCTTCCTCAGCTCCGGTCTCTCTGACTCTGGATCCTGACACAGCCCATCCCTGGCTCGTCCTGTCTGAGGACCTGACCAGCGTGAGACTCGGAGACAAACGGCAGCCGCTCCCTGACACCCCGAAGAGGTTTGGTAAATATCTGATTGTCCTGGGATCTGAGGGCTTCACATCAGGGAGACATTACTGGGAGGTGCAGGTGGGCAACAAGACTGAGTGGCTTGTGGGACTAGCCGGAGAGTCCATCAACAGGAAAGGACCGATCACCTGGTCACCGGAGGGTGGGGTCTGGGGTGTGTGGCTCAGGAGCGGGGTCTACGGGGCTCTGACTTCATTTCCTCCCCCAGAGCTGCCCCTGACAGTGAGACCCGGGAAGATTAGGGTTTACCTGGACTATGAGGGGGGACGGCTGACATTTTTCAACGCTGATAACGTGTCTCCCCTCTACACCTTCACCCACACTTTCACTGAGAAACTTTACCCTCTCTTCTATCCCGGTTTGAATGACGACAGCGAAAACTTGGAGCCGCTGAGAATCTGCCGGTAATAACGCAGGGGGTGGGACTCTGGATTGTACCCAAGGTGTAAACTTTGCTCACAATAAAGCATCTGATACAACGTCAACCCAGAAAATATTTCCTCCAGTATCGCTCCGGCTGGTGATAAAATTCGATGGTATAGATGGTTGGAATAGATTGTGAGCTCTCTCTCTCTCTCTCTCTCCCTCCCTCCCTCCCTGGAGGGATGCATCCTGCTTACAGGTGGAGGGAGTCCTGCAGCTCAGTGGTTAGAGCACTCGCTTTGCAAGCGAGAGACCGGAGTTCAATCCCCGGCAGGTCAGGGCCAAACCTCGGGCAAGTTTCCTTACTCCACACACCTAATAATAATCCCTCCAAAACCCAAACAATGATAAATTGGTAACTGTCAATCCACGACTGTTCGTGGGACACTGCTGTGCGCAATGGGCTGCCGCGTTCGCCCACAAATCTACGGTCAATTCGCTTTACAGTACACTCTGTGAAGCGCTTTGGGACGTCGAATTCAAGATCCTCATCCTCACCTACAAGGCCATTCACGGCCTCGCTCCCACCTACCTCTCCGACCTACTATCCCCCTACTTACCTGCCCGTACCCTCCGTTCCTCCGGCTCCGGTCTGCTCCACATCCCCCGCCCCAACCGCCCTACCATCGGTGGCCTTCAGCCTCTCAGCCCCGAGGCTCTGGAACTCCATCCCCAGTGCCTTCGCCGCTTCCTCCCTTTCCTCCTTCAAGGCCGGTCTCAAGACCTTTGTCTTTGACCGAGCCTTCAGCTCCCCTCTCGACTCTCTACCCCCTCCTCGCTCCCTCCCTCCCCTCCCCCTGACCATTTCCCCCCACTGCTCGGGTCCTAACCCAACTGTACAGCGCCTCGGGACGTCCTCCCGACGTGAAAGGCGCTCAATAAATGGAATCTTGTTGTTGTTGTTGTTGTCGAGAAGACGTGAAAAGCGCTATATCAAATGCAAGGATTATTATTATTAATATTATTATTATTACCTAATTCTGAAGAGGTATCGGGCGCAGGTTGGCAAGAGCCAAGGCTTGGGGTGACCCCAGAGTGCGCATTGGGGGGTAACTGCTGGAGTCTAACCAGCCCGATACCGCGTAGCTTGCCTTTGAGCGCGCCGTCTGGAAAGCATTCCCGCTGCTTATCCGGCGAGGACCGCTCTCTCCGTGAGGGCTTCGGCTCGCGGCGGGCCGGGGGGAGCAGAGGGCGAGCGCGCGGGGAGTCGGGAAGTGACGTTGCAAATTCCAAAAATAACGGCTCCAACGACCGCCGCGGACGACGCCAGAAGGTGGAAGGGCTTCAGCCACTGCCAGGGAATTCCCTCAAACCCTCCTCACCCGCTTATCGTCCCTCTCCAGGGTCCCTGCTCCTCGGCTGCTAGTCCTCTCCTCTCCTGCCTCCCTCCCCCCCCCCGCCTCCCCCCACCTTTCCCTTCTCCCTCCTCCTTGCCTCAAGTATTCGGCCACAAACCACGCAGTCACTACACTTCACAGTGTATCCTGTGAAGCGCTTTGAGACGTCTCGACGGCGTGATAAGGCGCTGCATCAAACGCCAGGATTATTATTACTATTATTATTATTACTTTGCTCTTCCTGGAACCTAACAACAACAACTTGCACTATATATATATATAGCGCCCTCCGCGCAGGATAGCGTCTCAGAGGCTTAAAATCCACCGGCGACTCAAACCGGCGTCTCGGATGTCGAACCAGTGACTCGGTTTCGCCCACAGAATGCCCCAGTCACTCCGCTTTACAGTACGTTCCGTGAAGCGCTTTGAGACGATTCAACGGCGCGATAAGGCGCTGTATCAAACGCCACATTATTATTATTATTATTATTATTATTATCATCGTCCTTCTTTTGGGGCAGGTGAGTGGGGTCTCCTCGAAGCTGAATTGGTCCCGAGGCCAACGGAGAGTCAGAATCGAGCCGGGCCCTCTCCCGTGACGGTCTCTGGGCCCCGGCTCCTGAGCCAGGAGGGTCCGCACCGCTGACCACGCCACCGCCCGGCCCTGGCCCATCGGCGGGACCCGGAAGGACACTTCAGGGAATCCTCCCCCTCGGCTCCTGCTAACTCTGCAGCCAAAGCCCTAACTCAGTTAACCAGCGGCCGGGGTGGTCCCAGCAGCGGGAAAGCTTGGCCAGACCGCGCTCGCTCTCCCTCTCAATGACGTTGACGTGGTTTGAGCCGGTTGGACTCCAGCAGTTAGTTACTCCCCCAACCCAAGCCTTGGCTCTCGGCGACATGTCCCCTAATCCTTTCCGGAATTAGGTCATCAGGATGTGTCCGTCCACGGGTGAGAGAGAGAGAGAGAGAGAGAGAGAGAGGGATTCCATCCCAACAATCCCATCTCTGGGACCTCCAGGTGTAGGTGGGACGCACGGAAATCTCAGTTTGGTTTGGAGCGCTTAAAACACGCTGATGGGTTCCCGCGTGGGTCAGACGCCCGGCTCAGACCTCCCCCCGCCCCCCAAAAAAGAAAAAAAAAGTCAGCAAACCCTTCCGCAGCTCCTTCCTCTCCCGTCTGCTTCTCTCCTTCACCCTCCTCCTCTTCCTCTTCCTCTCCCCCCACACCCCCCCCCCCCCTCTCCCCCCACCGTCTCGGAAGTTTTAAAACGTTTTGTTTTTTGTACATAAATCCTTAAATTAGCCGCGGTTTGAATTCCTGCCGCGATCGACCTGCGGGTCTTGATCACTGAAATGACGCCCTGACGCTGACGCCCCTCAGATCTGAATGTCGGATCGGATCCGATTCACACTGGACTTTGTGGGACAACTTAACAAGAGGGGCGTTACGCTTCCACAAAGCAGCGAGTTTTGGGGGGGAGGAAGGAGGGGAGGAGGGATGACCGGCAGATACCTTTGATCGAGCACTTTAGACAAGCGACCTCCTCTTCTCTATCCTACGCATTGCACTATTTCCGTCCTGAAGCGAGGCCCTGGAAAGCAGGAAAATGAATCGTTTTTTTTTTAAAAAAAAGATTATTATTATTTAATGAAAATAAAAGATCCAAGCTTTCCCGCCACGCCTCTGGTCCGGTGCACGGGCCGCCGACTGTGTTTGACTGACCGCCGGTTTCTGCTTCAGAGGGGTGTCTGTGTTGTGTGTCTCTGTGTCTGCGTACGTGTGTGTGTCTGCGTCTCTGTATGTGTGACTGTGCGTGCATGTGTGCGTGTCTGTGTGCGTCTGTGTCTCTGGATGTGTGCGTCTGTGTGCGTGTATGTGTGTGTCTATATCTCTCTGTGCGTCTGTGTGCGTGTATGTGTGTGTCTGTGTCTCTACGTATGTCTGTGTGCGTGTATGTGTGTGTCTGTGTCTCTACGTATGTCTGTGTGCGTGTATGTGTGTGTCTGTGTCTCTCTGTGCGTCTGTGTGTGTGTATGTGTGTGTCTGCGTCTCTCTGTGCGTCTGTGTGCGTGTATGTGTGTGTCTGTGTCTCTCTGTGCGTCTGTGTGCGTGTATGTGTGTGTCTGTGTCTCTCTGTGCGTCTGTGTGCGTGTATGTGTGTGTCTGCGTCTCTGTATGTGTGTGCGTGGCGTACGGAAACGCGCCCCAAGGCTTTTGTCCTGCGCGAGAAGAGATTATTACCCCCTCCCTCGTGCCAATCTCCCTCCCCTCCTTCAAGGCCCATTTCAAGACCCTTCTCTCCGACCATACTTTCGGTCACCCTCCAACCCCCACCCTCCAACAGCCCCCACCCTCCAACACCCCCCACCCCAACACCCCCACCCTCCAACAACCCCCACCCTCCCAACCCCCACCCTCCAACCCCACCCTCCAACAACCCCCCACCCTCTCCAACAACCCCCACCCTCCCAACCCCCACCCTCCAACACCCCACCTCCAACACCCCCCACCCTCCAACAGCCCCCACCCTCCCAACCCCCACCCTCCAACACCCCCCACCCTCCAACACCCCCACCCTCCCAACCCCCACCCTCCAACACCCCCCACCCTCCAACAACCTCCACCCTCCAACCCCCACCCTCCAACACCCCCCACCCTCCAACACCCCCACCCTCCCAACACCCCCACCCTCCAACAACCCCCACCCTCCAACAACCCCCACCCTCCCAACCCCCACCCTCCAACCCCCCCACCCTCCCAACACCCCCACCCTCCAACACTCCGCACCATCCCAACCCCCCACCCTCCAACCCCTGATCCCAACCCCCAGACTTGGGCAGTGGGGTGGGGGTGGTGGGCAGTGGGTGGTGGTCGGGGGCTTTGAGACGTCTCGATGATATGAGTCCTGGAGCTATCCCAGACACACACACAGACACGTCTCTGTTACCTGCAGTAAGCAGGAAACCTCTCGTTAGTCGATTGGGGGATGTGTGTGCGCGTGTGTGCGTTGGGGGGGGAGGGGTATCTGTATGTGTGGGGGGGGGAGCTATCTGTGTGTGCATGCGTGGGTGTATCCGTGTGTGTGTATCTGTGTGTGTGTGTATCTGCGCGTGTGTGTATCTGCGTGTGTATCTGTGTGTGTGTATCTGTGTGTGTGTGTATCTGTGTGTGTGTGTGTATCTGTGTGTGTGTATCTGTGTGTATCTGTGTGTGTGTGTGTATCTGTGTGTGTGTGTGTATCTGTGTGTGTGTGTATCTGTGTGTGTGTGCGTGTATCTGTGTGTGTGCGCGTGTGTGTGTGTGTATCTGTGTGTGTGTCTGTGTGTGTGTGTATCTGTGTGTATCTGTGTGTGTGTGTGTATCTGTGTGTGTGTGTGTATCTGTGTGTGTGTCTGTGTGTGTGTGTATCTGTGTGTATCTGTGTGTGTGTGTGTATCTGTGTGTGTGTGTGTATCTGTGTGTGTGTATCTGTGTGTGTGCGTGTATCTGTGTGTGTGCGCGTGTGTGTGTGTGTATCTGTGTGTGTGTCTGTGTGTGTGTGTATCTGTGTGTATCTGTGTGTGTGTGTGTATCTGTGTGTGTGTGTATCTGTGTGTGTGTGTATCTGTGTGTGTGTGCGTGTATCTGTGTGTGTGTGTGTGTGTGTATCTGTGTGTGTGCGTGTGTGTGTGTGTATCTGCGTGTATCCGTGTATCTGTGTGTGTGTGCGTGTATCTGTATGTAT